AGATGAGAAAGCTGTTGTACATCATTCAGAGAATATCCCTGGATTTCAAGCAGGATGGGCATTTTCCAGTGCCTTGTCCAGGCCACTCTGAAATGACAAAAGATCTGGAGCTTCCTCCATGTGCTTTGGAAGACCACTCCACAGTTTGATCAGTCTTATTATCCGAAAATATTTCCTGTGCTTCCATTTAACTTTGTTTAATTCTGTCATATACTATGCGAAATTTTCAAAAGTTTATATTTTCACTCCACATGCTTCATCAATAAATACAGAGACAACCAGTAGGAAGGAGGGCTGGATTGTGTCTGGGAGCATGTATGTATGGCTGGAAGGGTTGGGAGCAAACAGAACTACATGTGAAACATCAGTGTTGAATGCAAGGATAGGCTTAGGAGAAAATGGATCATATGTTCAGGTATCATATGTGAATGAATTTATGTTATGCAAATATATGTCTACAATATGCTGGATGTGATAGGAAGGGAATCCTGCTCTATAGCATTTGAGAGCTGCTCGTTATCACAGCATGATCCTGCAACCGTAGACTGAAATAAAAATGCTCATGTTTTGTTGCTGTCATAACACAGGGGAAGAATATGAAACAACCTGCAATAGTTAAATTCCACTTTCAACACTTGAGTGTGAAGTGACTTATTTGGAAGCATGGTGGCTGCATAAGGCCATCTTTTACCAAGCAGGTCCCTGCACAGTCCTCACTGCAGCTTCTTGCTTTAAAAACCTGAAGGGGACATGGAGATTTGCTTTTCTTCTTATTGCTCATTCAGGCAGATTCACCTAAAACGGGTGGATGGAACGGAGGGCTCCTTGGTTTTATTTCCAGCTCAGCTGCCTGTGCGAGCAAGTGTCAGTCTTCATCTCAAGCTGTCACTCAAGTTACTTGGCTATTCAATAAACCTAATAGTAATAATGAACTAGTGATAAAATACTGATGTAATAATAATAATACCACCACCAGTAATAATAATAGTTTCTGTTGTGGTTCTGTGAGAGTTATTATCTATGGCACAGAACAATTTAGAGACAATCTTTTGTGTGGTCTCTGAATGAGCCTCCCCTGTTTGCCTTCTCCTGTACAGCTTTGCCTGGAGAGACTGTCACATCAGAGAGGAGAACAAATCCTGAGGCTATTTCTCATTACAGAAATAATCTCTATTAGCATCTTATTGTTTAATCCAAGGAAGAGAGAAACAAAAAAGGACCCTTTGAGCTCCAAAACACACCTGAGTGACTGCAGCGTAATGGTTTTGAAGCATCAACTCAGCCATGGTAGCAAAAGGCATAGTTCTTTTGGTCCCCCTCTATTATAGTGTGATATGTTTTAATAGAAACCTCTCGTTGAAGTTGAAGCCTGGTACATTTTAGCTTCTCTTCACCACGGCTATGAGGCTGAGTACCAAGGATAGGCTGACACATGACTATTTTATTAATCCACAGTATCTTGTTCATACCTCTGAGTGATACCTTTCATGGCTGGGGAAACGTGACACTGTTTTACATTCTGGTTTAATATATGTACAGGACCTCAAGAATCTGCTGGAGGACAGTGACATTTCAGTTAACTCATAGATAAATAGGCTAGGAAGGCAGCAGGGATCAATTCCACCTTCCACTGTTATCATTTTATTAGCAGAAATGTTAAGAGCATAGCCTGATCTTCCCAAACACATTGGTGCCTCACTGCTCTCACGATGTTCAAATACACAGCAACAGCAAGCAGGAATTCAGACTAAAGAGGATTCAGACTAAACAGATGAAAGCAACTCCAGAATAAAATCAGGCCTGGAGATGAAGGAGTATCCTGAGAGGTAAATGATTTTTTTTTCAAGGTCATACAACTGATAAGCAGTAGGGCTGGGAGTAACCCAGGGCTCTTGGATCCTGACCCAGTGTGCTAACCTTTAACAGCACTGCCTCCATCTTTCAGCTGAATAATTCCCAACAGGAAGAGAGGGGGAAACAACTGGGCTGTAAAAGCTTTTTTCTTGCCAATTTCATCATTGAATTTTGTTCCAGCTTCTACCAAAATGGCTTGTGATGCAGGCGTGTTTTTAAAAGCAGGACACAGTGATTTGGGATTAAAACCAGTCCAGTAAAATGAAAGTTAACTATCAGCTAAAACTTCTTTCTGGTGAGACCCACTGCAATGCAGAACAGTTTTCTAGGGAAGTACTGGGACTTGTTGTTTAAGACATTTTAAACCAGACTGAATAAGTTTCTAGGAAAAAAATCTGTAGAAAATGATTCTGTATCAAGATTTGCTTTTTTTCGGTTCCAAGAATCCTTGGTGCAAAGGCCTTGAACTTAGCCTGCAATATGTTGTGACATGGCCTCTTGTGGGAGAAAGAAACAGTAACACACCATTTCATTGAGCAACCACCAGAAACATCACAGGAAAAAGCATCATGGAAGTAAGGAACTGAAGATGTGATTATTCAGTCAGATTTCATTACTGTAATGGGGACTGACTCAATCTCCCAGCGTATCTGGGAGAACAGGCTGGTAGAGGATTTTTTAATGAAGATTGCAATTGGATAGTATGCTGATAAGGGTGTGAGATACAGTATAGAGTTGCATGGATCACCTTGCTATTGTCCCATTCTTGGGTTTTCATCTGTGTGTGGATTAGCTCATAGGACGGCTCCATTGCATCCATGTCTGGCTTGGGGTAGCCGGGGATGACGTTGTGCAGCTGGAAGCCAAAAGTGAGCAGCCAACTGTTGACATCTGGAATGGAAGAGAAGCATAAATCAGATTATCTGATCTCTCAAGCAGTGTTGCTCAGGAGAACGGCACAGAGGAGGACCCCATGGTGCCCGCGCTGTAGCAGTCTGGCCAAAATGATGAGTGTCTACTTCATGTGAAGAGCATAAATCTTAATGGTCCTTGAAAGAACCGTGTGCCAAAGCTGGGCTTTCTGCCTCCAACCACGGTCCAATTCTGCACTTACTCAGCTCTGAAACAGAAGCTTTGGCAGTGACCAAATGGCTCAAATCAAAGCCAACTCAGTGTCTGCCGTTTGTCAGCAAGCACCAGGTACTGCTCTAAGGTGATGCAGGAGAAGCACAGGAACAACAATACACTAATGGAGGCTGAGATGCTCCAGCTGAATAGGGAGTGTTGTCCAGTCAGCTCTGAATATCTCAGCCACAGTACTTCTCTTCCTGAGGACTCTCAAAGGGTCTGCAGGCTGAAGACTAAATTTAGAGCTATGCGAGCCAGGATATCCAGGACAAACAGCACGGCCATTTGGCAGGTGCCCATGGAAGAGGCTCTGGACATACCCTCTGGTTTTCTCGATGGCATTTCTACTTCAGTCCTGAGTTTCTCAGCATTTTTCATAAGAAGGTGTAGTTTGAGTATTAAATCAGTGTAAAGTCAACATGTCATCTTTTATAGTGACATTTAAAATCAGCCTCCACACTACCTGCAAGGTACATTATAGTGCAAATAAGCATGCAGATACAAGACTACTTTGTTTGGGTACCTTTCACAAACCCTTTAGAAGTCCATGCTGGCTACAAGCGATAAACTATTGTCCTATGCGAAAGAGGGACCACTGGCACTAAAGGGGACGTGATGGAAAACCCAGCCATTTGGGACATCATTCCTGCATTCACTTGACAGTCCAGACTGCAAAGTCTTCCCTGACTTTGATTGCACAGATATTAGGAATAACAGCTGAATGTTAATCCGCTGGAGGAAATAATGATGAAGCTGTTTAACTCCTCGATCTGCTTGGGATCAGCATTGTTTCCCCCCTTAACTTCAGAGCATTTGATGATCTCACCTTGTTTGCCTTCACTGAACTCTAGAGAAGGACACACCTGCTACAATCCTCAAGCAATATGGTGTGCATTTGGCACAAAAATAGCAATTGCAGGAAAAAGAAAGGTATGAAGGTAAAGTTTAACTAATATCAGCTTCCAGGGGTCTTAAGTGTTTTGCATGTAACTGGGATTGTGTTGGTGATCGCTCTGCTTCAGGCTGGACGTGCAACGGGCTTTTCATCTTGCTAAACTCAATAAATGTTGAAACAATCTGAAAAAGGGATCAATTTAAATAATCAAATATGCATCTTTGAATATTTTTTCTCTATTCCCCATGAGCCTAAATGAGTGTTTTGAAGAGCTAGTCGGAAAAGAAATTATGGATGCAAGCGGCAAATAAGGCACTTCCAGATGACTGGAGAACCAGGAGCCAAACAAACACACTATCTGTTGCTTGTTTTCTTACAGGCCAAAATGTTGAGATTGGGCAGATGTCCAAAAAGCCCTTGCAACAATCCATGTGGAAGGGGGAGGATTTCTGTAATAAAAACACTTCTGTTCACTCAATGTACAGATTGGTTTTGGAGTGTCTCTGAAACAGAGAGGTTGGGGGTAGGGAAAAAAATTAAAAGGCTCATTTGATTATTTTCTTGCTTAGCGCTAAGCCAGCCTGTTTCCAAATCCTTCTCATGTGAAATGAAGACCTTTGATGTACATATTGTGGACCAGGTGGTCAGGAGAACAAAGTAAAATAGTGAAGGTCGGCATTGGTGCAGGAACCATTTTCCGAGCACTTCACAAATATTAAAAAGCATACAGAGCAGGGATGCTGAACAGCCGAAAAATATGTAACATGTCTGGAAAGATTCAAGACAGGCTTTTTTTGCTACTTCTCAGAAAAATGACTTTCAAAACATTTGCAAACAGGAGTTTGTTCTTTTTGGGAAGAGGTGTTGGAATACCCAGAACAAAAAAAAAAAAAACAACCCAAAAACATGGGAGGAAGGTGTGGAGCTGAGAAAACAGAGGGGAAAATATTAATTTGCCAAGAGGCAGTGACAACTTTTTTGACAGAAAAGTACATTTCACATCACAGAGGTTTTTTTCAGCTACGGTAACCCTGCCAACACATTTCACAGTAAATTCATTTGAGGGCAAAGAAAAAGAGTGCTTAATGCAGACACATGTAATGGAAATGTCAGTTCAATCCATCAGGATTGCTGAAGCTGGCAGCAAAGCTCTGCGCCATGAAGTGTACAATTGCTAAAATATTCATGTTTAACAATGGGCTTCTCAAAACGTAAATACCTGCTTCTCCTGCTCTCCCCTCCGCATGCCTCCAATTTGTACCCACAAGCTCAGAAACCTCGTTGCTGGAGACCAAAGTGCGTGTCGTTCGCCCGTGTCCTGGGCGCTGAGCCCCCCTAAGGACAGTGGCTCCCAGGGTGTGGATGGAGGGACAGAGAGCAGTTCCTTGTGCCCGAACCTGGGCAGATTTGGTTGTGGTGACAAGGACACTCTCATCGCAGGTCCTGCCCACGAGGTGCCGGAAAGCTTCAGCAGTAAGAAATGCACAGTAGCAGCCTAGCATCATGGCACTCATCCCATTACATGACCTGTTTCTTGCATGCACTGGGAGAGAAGAAACTTAAAAAATGTATTTGGGCTCTGTATTCTTCAAAGACTAAAAATAGAACTTTTAAGACCATGGAAGAAATTATTTGGTGGATATAAAATATTAAAGTATCAGATTTGGACACTTTGATGTTATCATCAGAGCTGGGTGGGAAGCTGTTTGCCTGTTCCAAGACAGGACTGGCAATTTGTCCTGTCTTAACTTGAGCAGGAAAATAAAAATCTGTTAATATGTCACAAAGCAACTGGTCAAAAACTAGATCGGTTCAAGAAAACAATTTCAAACTAAGATCTTTCATTTTGGTTTTGACTCCTTAATTTTTCTTTTCCAGTTTTCAATCATTAGTTTACACTTAATTTGAAAAGGTTGTAAACCAAAAAGGAATTTTTCTTTTAGGCTGTTTTGAAATTTGTCATTGAGACAATTTTGAGAGCTGTTTACAACATTTCTGCTGAGAAATCTCTCGAGCTCAACCCTCTCCCATAAACAAATTCAGTTTTGACAAATGAGCATTTTTTGATAGGAAAAGTTATCTCGAAGTATTCCCTGCCAGCCTTAATTATCAGAGTGAGGCCAACACATGGGATCTTAGTCTGCATCTTTTGGCATATTTTACTTCCCTCATGGCATCATCTTCTGAGCTCTGGAGAAAACAGCTTTTCATTAAAAAAAATACAATCTAATCCTTATGATTATTGCAGAAGAACCTGAAAGCACGAATCCTAATGGCCAGAACAACAAGTGGAATAGAACAACCCAGGATTTTTATTTTTTTGCTATTAAGCCAATCACTTGTAACTTAGGGGAATGCAAATATTGTTGCATATGGGAAAGTTGTGATAGACACAGCAGGAGCATTTAAAATTAGTTATATCTCCTTAAGAAGGATGTACATTTGATTTGTGATTGTGTCACCTGGTTTTTCAATGGAAAGTATATAGAAAAGAGTCCCACCAAAACAGTCTTCTCGAACATTACTACCAGTGTTGTACAAAGTATGAATATAGGAAGGACATTTAACCTACGGAATCGTTTTCTGTATAAAAAAACATACATAGAGCTCATGTTATTGCCATTTTACACAGTCCCAGGGGAAGCAGCTCAGAGGTTATGTCAAGCTGTGGGGTAGGTATACCCTAAAATCTGGCCTTTAAGTCTAATGCATCTACTTTTATTGACTTTCAATAGAAGCTGTTAGTTCCGTGGGGCAGATTAACTTTGAACTACCTGGTTACTGTAAGTGTGCTCTGAAATGGCTGACTAATAAAAGGTTTAAGACACTGTTGCCATTCTGCTAAAACGAATCTGCATGTCATTTGTTTAGTTGCAAATAAATCTCTAGGCAAAACTGTGTAAACAGACCTGCCCCTCTACAAAGGGAAAGGTTATCAGGACATTAATTGGTAGCTAAACTTGGGATATCTGAGGGAACAAAAAACTGGAAGCAAAATAAAGAGAACAAACACTAAGGAAGAGAAAAGGAAACAGGTATGGGAATTACAATCTCCATCTATGCTAATGAATTAAACATGCCCTGGACATAGGGGTCAACTCACAAAGAAAAGCTTGTGTCCATTATACTGAACACTGGAAAGCCTCATGGTGACCAGGATACTGAGAGAGACGAAACCTATTCACTGATGGCAAGCTTGTGAATATCTTAATTAATTTAAATGTCTTACCTGTCATGTAACATTTGATATCCTGAGAGTTGCTAATGGGATTGTTGTTTTTGAACATATACAGGTTGAAAGGCATTATGTTATTGCTACTCAGCTGCTTCCACATATCATGGTCTGGACTCGTCCACCGACCCGCTAGCACATCATAGTCTCTTCGTCCCATGTGAATAAGCTTTGTGAGGGGGTCATACAGTCCTCCGTGGTAACCAATGATGATCTGGAAGTTGGGATTGGTGTCCATATAGATCTCCCCATATGCTGTGTACAGTATCTGCTTAATCATTAGGCCTGTCCCACTGAAGACAGCCAAAGGAGTGCCAATGTTATCGCAGGCTATGTAGAATTCATCACCGCTGCTAAGCTCCATTGCAAAGAGGTGGCCTTGGAGGTCATAGTAGAGGGAGGTGATCTCAGAGCTCGAGTGGTTGTATAAATGCGTGACCTTGGTTGGGTTGGTCAGGTCTGCGTAGAAGAACTGCAAGTGATGGCCATGGCTGGTTTTGCTAGAGACTCTCCTTCCTAGGCCATCATAGCGGTATTTCACACTCCACCCACTAGCTTTATTGTAGGCTTTGATGAGCAGGCCAGCTGAATTGTACTCAAAAATATCATTGCCTCTTTGCTTCAGGAAGCCATCTTCATCCATTTTGTACTGCACATCCCCCAGTCTAGTAATCCTGTCCCTGAGGTCATACCTGAGCGGTGTAAGACGGGCACTATTCCCTGGACTCAACAAATGGAGGTTTCCGTTTAGGTCGTAGCTGTAGCGCCAGAGTGGTTTGTCGTTGATAGACACTGTCTGCAACTGGCCATCAGCATCATACTCATATGAGTACCTAGTTGTGTTTGCATAAGGTCCAACCTTCAGCTCTTTCTTAACCACTCTCCCCATGTTGTCATACTGCACAGTCATCCAGTACATCAGCGACCGGAATATCTCATACTGGACCTCCTTCATCCTGCCATAGGCATCAAAATGTTTAGTGTGAGTCATGACAGCAGTGGTGATGATCTGGTTGATATCGTAGTAAATGACTCCAAATTTTCCAAATTGCTCAGTTTTGCCTGAGACATCATCGTACCTGTAGAGATCAATGGGTAAAGGTGTCTCGTTGATGACTGCTTGCATGCTGGTCACCCGAAAACTGTTGTCATAATTATAGTCAAAGCGTGCATTCACCATGCCTTCCTCAGTGAAGCGGAAAATCTGTCGATCGATGAGGGGTCCTATCTGTCTGTATCTGATTGTACATGTGAACCCTTCATTCTGCAAGTTTATGGTCTTCAGCATGCCAGCGATTTCATCGTAAGTGAAGCTGATCTTTGTGGTGTCGTAGAGCATCTCGGCTAACTTGGACAACTTCCCATACTTGTAGATGACACGTCTCCCTGTGCCCAAGTACAAAGTGTGGAGAAGCTGCTCATCCTCTGTGAAATCCTGAATTACCGAGGCATTGCCTTCTGGTGGCCGGTAGATGTTCCTGTAGTAACCAATGGAACGAATGGTTTCTAAAGTCTGACGGGCAACATTGGGCATGGTCACCGATGACAACCGGTCGTTCTTATCAAACTCAAAGATGTACTGTCTCTGGCTATGAAGGAGCAGCACCATGGACTATATGGGAAGAAGAAAAGTATAGATTACATTCCTGGTTTCCAGGCAAAATTATACTCAACTCTGACAAAATCTGCAGGATTCTGCAATCCAAAGAGCAGGGCAAGTGAGGTAAATCTCTGCACCCATAGGATTAAATGGCGAGAGGTATGCAGCTGCACAGCACATCAAGTGTCCCCAAGTAGGAGTGGGTCAGAGGAAGAAGCAGTTAATGCAGTGAGGAAGGTCTAAATTCAGAACGCTCAGCTGTTCGAATCAATAACCTGTTGCTAGCTGTCTCTACCCAAATTCCCTGTGCCAATAGCTTTTACAGACTAAATAAATAAAATTGGTAGAGCAACTTAAACAATGCTTGAAAAAGTATCCCCTGACACCTTCCAATGCCCACTTAATTCATTGTGTCTCCATATCTTCCATTACTCTCTTACTGCAAACTTCTGCCTGCATGCTTATTTGTTCTGGGATTTTTTTTGCAAGTAACAATTGACACAGATTGTATAACACAAGGGGCAAGTCAATACTTTTCGCTTTTTAAAAGCTATGTTACCATAGTTTCCTTAAACTGTTGTAGGGATAGGCTCTGTGCAAAAATCAGGAATAAAAAAATTCCATCCCCAGGTATGCAGCATATGGATCTATAGGACACTGGGCAGTGGAGTGATGAATAGTAATACCCAGATGAATTTAATTCCCATGCCAATCTGCAGAGTGCAGACTACAGAAAACACTGCAAAGTGTGCTACAGCAGTCTAGCTGGATTCATGCCTTGCTCTTTTTAATTACATGTATTTCCTATGAAGCAAGGTAGGATGTCAGACTGTATGGGTTGTTCTCACGTGGAAAATCCTGCTGGAAATTCCTACTGTTCACTCCTCTGACTTTACCTGAAGATATTTTATATTGCAGCTTGCTCAGCAAAGGAATGTTGTGCTTCAATATCACATGCCAAAGCTTCACAGCATTAAGACATGCTGTCAGTGTGACTGGGAAGAAACTTCTCTATTTTTAACTGCTCTTTGGTGGTTTGGCATCAAAGTTACTATGTGCACCTTAGTGTAGGCAGAAGAGGAGTATTGGTCCATAAGGACCATCAATCAGCTGATGTGAAGGAGCGTAGCTGTACCGAAGTCAAAGGACTAAAGCCCATTTGCACCAAATGCACCATCTCTGAGCACTAAGAGGATTCTTACCTTTTCCAAGTAAGTGTAGCTCCATGATTTGCCATCAGCAAAGATCCTGGATGTAATTCTGCCAGACTGATCATACTCCATCCTTTCTGACATCGTGCCCCTCTGAATCCCTGCAATGTGTCCTCCTGGGGAATAGGTGACATTGACCCCATTCAGTCTGCTGCTGGGTGACCAGAGACTGGGCCTCCCTGCCTGGTCGTAGAGGATGCGGAGTGTGAACTTGCGGTGGTCATCATAGATTTTCTCTGTTCTTGTCACACGATCAAAGTCAAGGGACAGCAGGTTTCTGTTGTGAACCTACAGAAAAGAGATGGAGAATAAGGAAACTGTGAAGAGTTTAAGTTACAAAGACGAGCCTTGTTTCACCAAACACCTCTTTAGACCATATTGGAGAGTATCTAGCTGTTCATTGCTTCCTGATAAGAGGCAATTTTCAAAGCAAGGAGTTGTCCTAACACTGCTTCTGTTGACTTCAGTGAGGAGAGAGACAGAAAAACAGGGTACTTATGAAACATCATCACGGTGAAGGAATATTGTCCATATCCCAAACCTAGGCTTAGGACTGCTACAGCTGATGTGATTACAGACATACAGAAGATGAAATGACACCTTGTTGCAGGGAATACTTGCAAGGTACTCTGCTTATCAGACCTTGGATATATAGTCTTTTGCTTTCATGCACATCAGAAAATACTACTTGTAGAAAAAAGATGGATGTTGTGTCAACATAGTGGAGAGCAGAGCTTTTCTCTGAGTTTACTGAATATCCTGCATGCACTGGAGGTTAAGCCTTCCCCTGAGATGAAATATGGAGGCCTTGACCACTGTAGATGTTACACAGAGCAAGAACTTTCCTGTGGGAGCTGGAGTTTTAGCTTCATTGTCCTGGGGTTATTTGGTGTTGCATAATTACACTCCTGTTACCTCCACTGCCTCTGCATTTCCAAAGATCAAAGGTATCTACTTCAAAGGTAGGAGCAGGAATACATTTTGATTCAGGGATTGTAGTGCACAGCGATACAAAAAGGAGCTGATAATACAACTCATATTTAGCTGCATGTGCAAGAAGACTTACAAACCCACATCATCACAGCAGTAAAGTACTGAGCAAGGATGAAACCCCCACATTCCCAGTATGAGCTTGCCACCCCACCGCTTTCAAACCCCTTTCAGCTGGTGAACCCCTCTTTTCTAGAAGGCTACAGATTCTTCTTGGCCAAATTTCAAACTCCAGTCAGCTGGCTTGGTTTCCAGTGCCCTTTGCAGCCTTTCAGCTGTAGTCAATAAACCAGGGTTTGCAAGTTGCTGCAAGGTCTTCAGACTGCAAGTTAAACATACTGCCTTACCCTGCCCTGGGTAGAGCCAACCTGAGCACTGTTCTCAGCCCTGGTCGAGCTTTGATCTTGGTCATTGCTTTAGGCTGCATGACTGAATTCCCACTATATTTTGAGGAATGTGGGAGTATCTGAGAGCTAAACAGCAAGAGAAAGCAGAGAAAGGATGTGGTAGAGCCACGGAAGAAGGGGTTCCTCAGCCCTGGAGGAATGGGAGAGGGAAAGGCAGGACAGCTTCAGTGCTTTTGTGCTGCATGGGCAGACGTCTGTACTGAAACTGGGAGAACAGGGATGCTGCAAAATCAGAAGTCAAAAGAAGGCATCTCAGGACCTGGTGTCTGAAGAGGCAAAAGCACGGCTGAGAAAATATGGAAGCGAGCTGAGGGTATGCGTGGCCAGCTAAGAAAGAAGGAATCACTGCCATGCCTTAAGTATGAAGATGATGTAAGAGGAGGCAAGTGCAAAAATGTTTTCCACCTTATGAATAACAATGGTAAAAGGCAGGCATGACTTGAGGAAACAAACGGTGTGGAAAGGTAGATAATGCTCCAATTAAATATGTGTAAAATAGAATGTAAATGGGCAATAGGAGAAAGAGTGGATCAGCCAACTGCCCACTGTAACAGGCAAGTTCTGAAATAATTAAAAAGGTATCAAAACTCTAAGTACAGATGCACACATGTAACTAACAGAGCAATTTGATATCTCATAGGTGATTGCTGCCATAAATAGAGAACAGAAGTGGCAATTGCTTAGGGGCAATTTCTTGAAAAAAAAAAAAAAAAAAAAAAAGCAAAGCAGGAAGAAATAACATCTCTGCCTTCCATCTATTCACGGAGCAACTCCAGCCTGGCAGCTGCAGCTTCTTGTGCTACTGGTCTCTGCCAAGAGAGCTGGAAAGAGCTCTTCCAGGGCTGGGACAGTAATCCAGGCTGAAAGTGGCCTCCCTGATCCGTACGCCAGCAGCAGTGCCATTCACTGTGCTGGAAGGACCAAACAACAGGTCCCAGGATAGCTCTTAAGCTCAGTCCAAATCTCTGCATCCCATTACTGGTGCCCTAAGTCGTTCCACCCTCCCCATGCTCTGGCAAGCAATTTCTGCAGGACTAGTTGGAACCAGTCTCCCTTATCATGATTTTTTTTTTATGATTTGTTTTCTCCCGCTTTCTCAGAGTAATCTCTCTTCTCTCCAAGAAGTGCTGCAGTGGCAACAGCCACCCCTCAAGGTGACAGGCAAAGTGAACCCTACCCTGCCAGATTGCCTCTGAACAGGGGCTAAATCTTTTTCATCCGTGTTCAAGGGCATGCCTTGAATAGAAGTGAATTTTCTGCAGAAGCACTGACAGGGCTGCAGGCTTCAGTCCAATAACTGTGTTTTATGGTGAGCAGCTAAATAAGGTGCCATCCTACCTCCAGGAGTCCTTATCCTGGAACAGGGTCTGAAAAGCTCCTGCAAAAAGCTTTTGCCCCTCAGAGCGTTTGACAAAGCTTGTGATCAGCACAGGGCTGAGACAGGGTAAATTTAAATCCACAGTTCATTGTGTATTTGACCTCCCCTCTATGATGTGCAAGAGACTAAATTTAACCCCAAACTCATCTTCCACAGTACTTTATTCAGTCCTTTAGCTTGCTTTGGAACAGCAAAAGCATAAACATGCCACCATCTCTGATTTTTCCAATGCTTCCTATGGAGCTCCTTTAGCTTAAATTATAATTAAAAAACATGCATTGGTCTCCCTGGGAGCAAAAGACACAAAAAGGGAAGATTTCTCATGAAAATACTCTGGCAACGTTCAGCAGAAGAGGGCAAATGATACTTCTGCAATGAGAAGTAGGAGCCAACAACATCCATGTGATAAACGGCTGCCTACAAAACAATTTCCCCAGTGAATTGCTAAAACCATTGGGGTGGCCATATCCAGACCTTGACACCTTGCAGAAATAGTGGAGATGATGCTGGACTGTCCTTGTTAGTCAACACACCAGGAAGGGTTAGCAGCGTATCCCAAGAGACCTCTCTGGTCACGCCGGTTCTGGGGAGTGTCTGGGACACTAGGTCTTGATGCCACCATTAACCTGCTGCCAAAGTCTTGGGAAAAACAAAGTGAATTACAACAGGAGTTTCCATGGTTAAATAAATAAAAGAGCTGAGCCAGCAGCTCGGTCTCTTTTGGCTGTCCTATTTGCTCCACTGTCAGAGATTATTTTACCTCCTTCTTTATTGAAAAACGCAGGTTTGTTTAGGAAAAAAAAAAAAAAAAAGGAAGCTGCGCTGTTCCTTGGAGCAGAGTTTACCTAATGCTCTCACTGCAGATGGAGTCTGTGTTGCTGTTGGCCAGTGATGGGTTGAATTCGTAGCCAGCCAGTTTGCGGAGTTATCTCACTACTGGGTGCGTGGATCAGAGCATCACAACTTTCCATGGGGTGTGTGGGATAGGAGAAGGGAAGAGGGCTGCTTTGACATATTTGTGCTGCTTTACTGCTGCCTGGCCAAGTGCGGACCCAGGTCAGCATTGAGGGGACTGGGGAAAAGGCATCAGGGCTGGCCTTTTCCCTTCAGAAGTCCCTGCCCTCTGCCTTATCCCTACAATAAACATGTGCATTGTATTATTTCTTAGGAAGGATCAAGGAGGCAGCTGCAAAACTGGCCTCATCATGCTGGGAGCTGGTCGATCTCCTGGCAGCAGGTCATCAGTCCCCAAGAACACCCTGAAACCATGGGAGGAAGGGCCACAACTCATAAAATGTGGATCCACGTGATGGCAGCAGAAAGGATGCTGGTTTCAGGGGAACTCCCTCTTTTACAGTGGTCAGATCTTGTTCTCCTCATCTCAAAGGCTTCATGGAGTGATGCTGCAGCCTCTTTGGGCATGTCATTTCCCCATGGAGCACCATGTCTTTGTTGCTGTCTCATGCGAGCAGTGGAGTGAGGGGAGAGGGAAAGTGGCGATTTACTCACATATAGTAGAAAATGATAACATTTCCCCAAATGAACAAAAACATGTTGAACTTAACTTCCCTAAGCTTCTCCCTTGCCAGGGAAAGCAGCAATTACAGGTACAAGGGAAAAGGAGAACATGACACACAGAATATGTTAAATGCCAGGCAATCCCCAGGGAGGCAATTAGCACCTTGCAGGTTTATGTCTCAGGGGTGCAGATGCTGCCATGCGGGTACAAACAGGCAGCTTAAAACTTCTTGTACACCCTCAGCTACTTTGAACCCTGAACAGAGCCATAACTGAGTCCTTCAACCATGTAAGATGCTCTTCTGCTTCACTAGAAGGGCCCCAATAGGCTCAAAATGTGAATAAATGCTGGCAGATTTATGGGGACACAAGTAACCAGCCTGAAAACTCATTTTGCAAGTGTTTTTCCAACTGCAGTACAATATAAAACAAAGACACATTCTGCGTTTGAATCTACTGTGAAAATTTTGGAAGATAAAACCGACACAGGCAGCTGAGCTGCGGCTAAATGAGTGGAAACTGCTTTGAACACCAAATAGCTGTGACACAGCTGCAGATTTCAGAAGGCTCTCTCCTTCAGAAAAAGACCTGTCTGATAATTTTGTTGGTTATTAAAATAAAAAAAAATAAAAACCCCAAGACAAACCAAACAATAAGGGTGATGCCAAGTGATCTGCAGATATACAGCAGTTCCCACTGAAGGAGCAGCTTCAGCTTTCACTACTGTTTGCAGTTTTTCTCCTGATAACAAAATATGAAGCTATCGGCGCAAGGGGAAAAGAACAGAGGCTGGGTTGGGGAGGGTAGAGCAATACTTGACAAGTGTGAGCGAGGAGAGACGGGAGAAATCACACCAAGGTGGCAGGGGTCACGCAGCAGGAAATAGGGAGAGGTGAAGAGCAAGGACTGGGAAACACATATCCTGAAACCAGAGCATTAATATTTACTGCAAAGCTTAAGTGTGAATAAATAGCTGCAGTCCTATTACTGTGGTGGCATTACACAGCACTAAGCATTTTTCTCAGAGGGTCTGAATTTGCCAGGTGCTGAGCAGCTTCCCAGGAACCGCTCATCAGCCCATGACTCTGAGGCTAGCAAGGTATGGGGTGATTGCACAGGACTTGCTATTACAAGTTACCAGCCTAGCCAGCAGTTAGCAGAGGAATTACAGTCTTATTGGGCAAGATCTTTAAACAGCCCTGACAAGTCTGCAGTGCATGGTATGGAACGATGTTTTCAAAACACATCAGTCTCAAGCACAGAAAGGACCGCGCGCTCCTGGAGGAGAGAGTACCATCAGGCTGGAGCTGTTTATAACAATTCACTTTGCAGAACAATGGCAATTGTGATGCAATGCCCTGTGAGCCCGGTTCAACAGGTTTGGCAGATTAGGGAGTTTCAGGAATCTAGAGATTTTTCTGAGGCTGCCCAGTGAACAATAATCATAGAATCACGGGATGGTTTGGGTTTGAAGAGACCTTAAAATCATCTAGTTCCAACCCCCCTGCCATGGGCAGGGACACCTTCCACTAGACCAGGTTGCTCAAAGCCCCGTCCAACCTGACCTTGAACACCTCCAGGGAGGGAGCATCCACAGCTTCTCTGGGCAACCTGTGCCAGTGCCTCACCACCCTCACAGTAAAGAATTTCTTCCTAATTTTTAATCTAAATCTAAACCTTCTTGCGATTTAATAGTTACCCCTCGTCCTATCACTACACTCCCTGATAAAGAGTTCCTCCCCATCTTTCCTGTAGGCACCCTTCAAGTACTGGAAGGCTGCGTTAAGGTCTCCCTGGAGCTTTCTCTTCTCCAGGCTGAACAACCCCAACTCTCTCAGCCTGGCCTCATATGCTTACAAAGCTTTCAGTGCTCAGGTCTATTACTGCCAGCAGCACAGGTAGAAAATATGTATACTAATTGGTGCAGTATTTTATAGTTATAATTGTTCCTTGCTTGCTTAAACAGCCTGACATGATGGTTAAACCTGCGGTGTCTGATAGGAGGTCACATATTCCCAGTGATGAAGAGGACCCGTAGGCAAATCAGCAGTACTACCTGTGATGGCTAAGAGAACGTCAGCACATAAGAAGACACAAGGATATATTCAGCTCATAAAGGTTGTGTCACTGAGGATGAACAGCTAGCTCTGTGTCCTGCAGCCTCCTCCCTACTGCAGGCGATACAAATCAGCCCTGTTCCTTTCTGTCATGAAACTGGGGACTGATGAGACGGGAAGTGGCGTCCAAAACTGCTCACGCTTCTCACTTACCCTCAGCCGACGTCCAAAGACGGTGACCTGCCCTCTCGCTTGCTCCTTCCTCTGTCTCCACTCCACGAGATTGAGGCCATTGTCGATGGGCAGGGTGACATTCCTCTTCCCCACTGTGGGGTTGACGGTGCCAGCCAGCAGATGAGGCTCGGTTTGCAAGGCCACCTCCATGCCGTTAGCGAGCATCAGTCTGAGAGAGCCATCAGCGCCGATGTAGTAGCTGTTTCGGACTTGGTCTGAAGACAGAAAGAGATATTTTCAAATGGCTGCCCAATGATACAGCTCCAGCTTTTCATTTTCTCCCTCACCCAGGCTTCATCAGCATTTCTGATGGTTGTAACCAAATGCGCTCTCACTCACCTGTCCCACTCTCAGTGAGCAAAACATTGGTTTCATCGGTGAAAGTAAAGATGGACAATCTCTTTTTCATTCCTATGAGGTTCTGCACCTCAAACTCTTGCAGAAAAGTCCTACACAGGTTAAAAAAGGTACCAGTGGAAGAGCCGTGTAATACCCTAGCAAAGGACGCAGGTTCAAACCTCTTCCTCCAGGCTAAAACACTGGGCGGTAAGGTTTTTGTTTTAAATCACAGTCCGGCTGAAAACTTTCCACGCTTTTATATCCTAAAGATCCCAATTTCACTACAATATATGAAAAAGTGGGGCCACCTACTTTCCTCAGCTTATTCACCATCTCACAAGTGACAGGAAATTGCACAGCAAGTTAATGCTAACCAGTTCCCCAAACAAAAGCCAAACCCTTTCACTTGGGAAAGCTTTCAGGAGGCAACTGAAGTCCTCATGTTTGGAGAGAAAGCAGAGGCACTAAGCTCCCACACATCTCCGTACATCTGGCCTCCACGAGCTCTTGAAAGATCAGCAGATTTTCAGGCCAGGATTTGGGAGTTCAGGAGTGGAAGAGAAGAACAATATCTCTTCCACATCCTTCAGGAATCAGGCAGGCTGAAAGCCCATCCTTTGAATCTCCAGATGGCATTTCTCTCTGCAGAGAGGAGCTCATGAAGGGTAAGAAAGCATGAGACTTGCTCAGTGCAGAATGGCTTTAAAAGCACATTATGCAAAGACTGTCTTATCTGAAGCTCCTCAAAAGCTGGAAAATATTACGATTTCTGTCTCCCAGGCTGCCATAAATACCTAATTGTGAATAAAAATACCCGTTAAAAATTCATGTCAATTGTTTTTCCGTTCTGAAGCAAGTTAGGTTTTGTTCACTAGTTGCTCTGCCATAGCTCAGCAGGAAACGAGGTCACAGTGAAATTATCATCTCTCGTCTGGATGAAACAGATCAGCAAAGAGCATAGTTTGGTATAATTAGGAAAGGAAACCTGACACCAGTTGGTCTTTTTTATTGTGAATCTGATCCTGCTCCTGTTGTAGCCAGCTGGAGTCTTGCCACACTGATCTCAGCAGGACCACAACTCAACTTACTGTACACAGTAGTGATGGTGTGGAACTGCTATGGCACTGGATTTTACCACTATAAACATAGAGCACTGATCCACAGTGCAGATCCAAGTATTTCAGCTGTACCACTGAGTACTTAAGTTGATGGTCTTTTGACATAGACTCCAGCAGGATCAAACCCACTCCATGCTTGATTCTGCAAATGGAAAGAAGGGGGACAGCCAGCTGGCTGTCTCACTTTTGTTCTTAGATGTTTTGTTTGGTGAGAAAGTGGTAGGAGATGTGCTTTAAATCAAATCAGTGAAATATCTCTGCACAGCTAATATATTCCTCCTTCCTTCATCCTTCACCAGGAAGCAGGAGAAAGCTTGATTGTCTCCATGAAATTCACTGGACATGTGAAGACCCCTTCATGTCACACAAGCACTGCAGAGTGGTTATGGTGGATTGTCACCAGCAGTGTGGTACAGTGTGGAGAATGTAAATCCTCCACTTTCAACATTTTCCCAAGAGAAGACTCTTCCGTGACTTTGGAAAGCGTTTCTCAAGGGCTACATGAAATCCAGGGGCCATTGGATGCTGTATTTTATGCTGCTTTGGCTCTAGGGAACTAGTGCCCTATTTTGGCCTTGAACAAATGCTCACTTTGTCATTAATCCAGAGGACAAACTCCCACAGAGGTCCTGAGGTGACTGTCAGCTGTAGAGGTTCCTAAATCCATCGTACAGGAATCTGTAACCTTCTGAAAATGCCTTCTCAGACCTCACCTGTTCACAGTGTGATCCAGGTTTCTTGAAAGGTTCACCAGGGATTTGTGAAAGCTGGCCAGAGTCCAGAAGGAAAATGCACGAGCAACTCTCATGCAAAGGGAATCTGCAAGATGCATTTTCCCGGGAGAGCAACAGAGCAAGCACGACACTGACAGACCTTGAGAATGGCTTCAGCTCCACCCACTGGAGAGGCACTTGGAAGGCAACTTCATTTCAGCTGTGCTCAATACATCCCTGGGCAACTCCCGTGGCCCTTGTTTCAAGTTTCTACAGTGCTGCCATGAACAAACAGCTACCTCAGTTTGGGAATTCAGAGTCCCTAATGCCTGTGGGAAAGCCACCCTCAGCAGGTCGCAGGCCACCTCTGCTGCAGTGTTATCCAGATCTTCATTTTAAGATAAGTGAGTTTCTTCAGATCCCAACAGTTTTGTCATT